CTTCCCCATGATATTTTGATACCACAGATATACTGTGTATATGTTTATGTGTAGTGGCCCTTTGGAGGGCCACAAACCATTGTAATATTTAAGATTATTTTTAACCCTCCCCAAAACAAATTTTTATCCCTTTTGGGGTGATGCTGCTCCTATTAAGAATGCATGATTGACGGGGTAGGAGAAAAAACTTTGCTATGCATGAGTAGTTGCTTTTGTTTCATGGGACTCAGATCACTGTTATCTTACTTTGTCAGGTGGTCTATAGGGGAACATTAGGTTTAATAATTGCCATTATTACTTCACCAGTCTGTCATCAAACTCTAAACGTGTGCCATGAGGTGCCGAAATTCCCTAGAATATTCAGGTACAGTATTTCCATTCTTGAGAACATTGATAATTTTGGCAAGGACACAGTGACATAATTGAAAGTATTTTGTTTAATTTAGGGAACAGTAGTCTTGATATAGTAGGAATAATAGTGTTTATTTTTTTTAATTTTTTTTAACGTTAATTTATTTTTGAGACACAGAGAGACAGAGCATGAACGGGGTAGGGGCAGAGAGAGAGGGAGGTACAGAAGTGGATGCAGGCTCCAGGCTCTGAGCCATCAGCCCAGAGCCCGACACGGGGCTTGAACTCACCGACCGCGAGATCGTGACCTGAGCTGAAGTCGGACGCTCAACCGACTGAGCCACCCAGGCGCCCAATATAATAGTCAGTGTTTAAACCTCTATCTCAGTGGTTCTCATTCAGTGGTGATTTTGCCTCCCAGAGGACATTTGCAATAATTGAAAACATCTTTGGATGTCACAACTGGAGGAGTGGGTGTTGCTGGGGTGGCATCTCCTTAGTCAAGGCCTAGAATGCTGTTAAACATCCTGCACAGGAAAGTGCCTCCTCTGCCCCCTCTTTGCACTACCCACCATAACAAAGAATTATCTGGTCCAAAATGTCAGTACTACCTAGGTTAAGAAACACTGTTTTATCCCATGATTCTACTCCTTATTCTGTGTTTTCATAAAATAGTCCAAAATATAAAAACAATTACGGTGGAGGGTGGGGGTATGCATACATAAAGATACTCACTAAAGCATTACTTTTTCCCTTTATAAAATGTGTTCTTTTAGAAAACTTACTAATATAATACAAAAAAACATATAAAATTATCCACAATCCCCCTCAAAAATAATGTTGAGATTTTGATGTATGTGTATTTTTAAAGTGGGACATGTATCACTATGTGTAATTACGAAAAGTGGGAAACAGACTTAATCCTTTGAAGAATTTTGATGGTTACCAGAGGGGAGGTGGTTGAGGGGGAATTGAAATCGATGATAGCGCTTACTATGATGAGCACTGAGTCATGAATAGATTTAGTGAATCACTAAAATTGTACACCTGAAATTAATAGAATATGTTAACTATACTGGAATTAAAATTAAAAACTTAATTAAAAAACTTAATTCTTTGAGACTTAGGAAGTGATTTGATTGCCCAGTCAGGACTACATCAGTTTCAAGAACACTGAAGAATTGGCAGCTACTTTAGAGATTAATTAACTCAACCCATTTCAGGAATTCTTATACAATACCCTTCAACCTCTCTTTGTCCATTTGTTCACTTAAATCTTCTATTCTGAATTACTGTTTGCAAATGCCTTTTAACCCTAGAGTTAAAAAGTACAGTTTTCCAATGAAGCTAACTTAATCCTTTGTACTAGTAGAGGTAAATGATAGACCCATCCCTAGGGATAGTCTTTTATTATTATTATATTTTTTACCATAATTTAATATGGAAGAACAAATGGTAAAAAATTGGAAGCAGTCATAATGTCTATCAGTAGAGAATGAATAGAGTTTGGCATTTTTCATAAAATGAACTAATCTGCATATATTATAAATAAACCTAAAGCATAATGTAAATGAAAAGCAAGGCATAGGATATTTAGAGTATGGTAAGTTTGAAGTAAATGTTAATATTACACAAAATACTATAGTGTTTATAGGTATAATATGTGTGTGTGTGTGTGTGTGTGTGTGTGTGTGTGTGTATAGAATATAAAACCATGGACGGTAAGAATACACACCCAAACTCAGGATAGTACTTACCTCTGATAATGAATGGGAAGGGAAGGAGATCAAGAAACAGTAGCAAGTTGGATCATCAGCTATATCAATAACCTTTTATTTCTTAAAAGAAAAAAGTATTTTGAATAAATATGGCAGTTTGCAAGTTGGTTAAATCTTGAGTATGGGTACATTGTTCTTTATACTTTCTTTTTCTTTGTTTTTGAAATATTTCAAGATCACATTTTTTAAAAGTAAATGTACTTTTCAAATTTGTTCATGTTTGAACTGAGGCCAAATATAGAAAGATTTTTATAGTAATTTAGCAATGTGTATGTAATAAAATAGTAGTGAATGACTTCCTTACAATCAAAACTAGTTAACTATAGCAAAATAATTTCCAAGGGCTTTTCTCCCTTTGTTTTTGGAATGTTAAGTACTTTCTGATGGTATTTAGGGTCTACTGAGTGTTAAGAAAGATAAATGGTTCTTGAAATTACTCAAGCAATGGTTGGGGTAACTTAATATGATTTAGAATTCTGCAAGATGACAAGTTCATAATCTTTTTTTCTCCTATAACTTAACATGGAAAAAACAAATATATTTAGAAAGAAACCATATTATACATCAGGATTAAAAAGTCAATTTCTTACAAGGAAATGTGGAATCTCTGAGTCTCCCCTTTTTTTTTAATGTTTATTTTGAAAGAGAGTGCACACAAGCAGGAGAGGGGCGGGGGGAGAGGGGGTAGAGAGAGAATTCCAAGTAGGCTCTGCACTGTCAACGCAGAGCCCAGTGCAGGGGCTCAGTCTTAGAAACAGTGAGATCCTGACCTGAGCTGAAATTAAGAGTCACTTGCTCATCTGACTGAGCCACCCAGGTATCACCTCTGAGTTTCTTGATGGTGATATGATGCTCTGCCTCTTTCATAGATAACGAACATTGCAGGGGTGTTTTCTTTTAGAAGAATTGTTTATTTAAAACCATTAACTTACATTTGCATTCAGATTTTTTTAAGGTTTCTTCCTCTGAGATTTTAGATATCTGGTCTTTATTTATTTATTTATTTATTTATTTATTTTTAATTTTTTTTTCAACGTTTATTTATTTTTGGGACAGAGAGAGACAGAGCATGAACGGGGGAGGGGCAGAGAGAGAGGGAGACACAGAATCGGAAACAGGCTCCAGGCTCTGAGCCATCAGCCCAGAGCCTGATGCGGGGCTCGAACTCATGGACCGCGAGATCGTGACCTGGCTGAAGTCGGATGCTTAACCGACTGCGCCACCCAGGCGCCCCAGATATCTGGTCTTTAAATTAGTGACGGGTGTTTATGCCTTTGTTCTATCAAAAAAACACATATTAACATGACTTTCTTATATGGTAAGTGGCACTCTCAACGTAAGCATAAGCAAGCATATTTTTTCTAGCTAATGCCAAAAACTGTCTTGTTACTAAAGAAAACTTCCATAAGCAGATCTGTGATAACTTACCCTAATAGAAGGATTTTTACTTGATTTTATGGTTATTGTCTTCTGACAGAAATTTGACTAAATCATATGAATGTTTGGTGGGAGATATTTTACTAGACTGTGTTAAAATAAAACTATTTGAGATTTTGGAGCCAGGCTGCTAAAGGATAGATTTATAAGTGAAGCTGGCCATTTTGCTTGACAATGGGTTGTTAGAAATTTCTCCTAAATAATGAAAACATGTAAAAGCCATCATACAGTGAAAACATTTACATTTCTGTATTGGATTCAGTATTTCTTTTTTTTTTTTTTTTT